AACATTATCCCAAACATTATTTATTTAATCTTTCGCAAACATTATCCCAAACATTATTTATTTAATCTTTCGCAAACATTATCCCAAACATTATTTATTTAATCTTTCACAAACATTATCCCAAACATTATTTATTTAATCTTTCGCAAACATTATCCCAAACATTATTTATTTAATCTTTCCCGAACATTATCCCAAACATTACTTATTTAATCTTTCCCGAACATTATCCCAAACATTACTTATTTAATCTATCCCGAACATTATCCCAAACATTACTTATTTAATCTTTCCCGAACATTATCACAAACATTATTTATTTAATCTTTCGCAAACATTATCCCGAACATTATTTATTTAATCTTTCCCGAGCATTATCCCAAACATTATTTATTTAATCTTTCCCGAACATTATCCCAAACATTATTTATTTAATCTTTCCCGAGCATTATCCCAAACACTATTTATTTAATCTTTCCCGAGCATTATTCCAAACATTATTTATTTAATCTTTCCCGAGCATTATCCCAAACATTATTTATTTAATCTTTCGGTCGTCTTAATGAAATAATTTCAAGTGAAATGCCAATGAAATAGAAATGGCACTTTTTAAAGGAAAATACCTTTCTGAAAGCACTATATTGAACAAATGATGAAAGGAATATGCATTTATTAAATATTATATGCGTTTATAAAGTATTTCCTACCATGCTTTTTAAATTAAAATAAAAAATAGTTAAATTCTTTTATGAAGATATATGTTTCCCCAATAACCATTTTCAGCATTTATAGCAGTACTTTTTAAGTTTTCATCTCGAAGTAAACCATATCTTATTTGATTCATTTTCAGCTTATGTATACACAGGAAAAACAAATTATCAGTCCTAACCTAATTTAAGATTATTAATGTTAAAACGATGAAAATTCTTCATTCCTCTAATTAAATATTTAAAAAAGTTATTTTTTATAGGCTATAACAATACGTGCCAGAGAATTCTTAATGTGATGGTTTCGGTCACATTGACTATTGCTTTTTTGAACTACCCATTTTCACACTCATACTTTTGTGTTTTGCCTTGCTATTAAAAAAAAATTGAAAAAAATTCCAAAAATAACAAAAACCGAGAAAAATTTATGTATATTTGAATTCATAAATCCTGCCTACCTGAAAAAAGTAGTTTTGAATCCAAGTTCTGCGCAAGCGTATGAAAAAATAAATAAATTGTAACTACCGTTGAAAATATTTATAAATTTGAACCCACAAACCCTTCTTATCTGAAAAAAAAAATAGTTTTGAATTAAATTTCTTTGCAAGTTTATGAAAACACCTCTAACTGCGTTAAAAAAAACTCGTAAAAAATGCATATAAATTTGAACTCTTAAATCCTTTCTATCTGAAAAAGAGATAGTTTTGAATTCGAATTCGGTGCAAGTTTAAGAAAACACTTCTAACTACCGCAAAAAATGTATATAAATTTGAACTCGTAAATACTTTCTACCCCAAAAAATAGTTTGAACTCAAATTTTGTACAAGTTTTAAAAAAACACCTCTAACTATAAAAAAATGGTCCATAAAAATGAATCTTTTTAAAGTTATAAAGGTTGTTCAAAAATTGAGCATTATACAGCAGTCGCTTTAATGTAATTTCATTTATTTTTCTTAAAATCAAAAACAAGGGAACGTAGAAAACTACATAGCTTACATACATGAAATATATACAAATCGGTCATTTCAGTTACTGCTAAACATCGATGATTACAGGAACATTTGAAGATGATGATTTGGTGATAGTGAATTTCTCATGGAATTATATCAATGAACTTAAATGCATTTGATTGATGTCCTAATGAGTTGATGAATCTCTGAATCATGAACATGAATTGTCCAACTAATACCACTGTTGTCCATACTGTGCAGCATAGCCACCACCACCATAGACTCCTTGTCCAAAACCTCCAGCCGGACCATATCCGTATCCAGTTCCATAGTATTCATTGCCAAAATGACCTCCGCTGAATTCTTGTTCCTTGTTGAGGCTATAGAAAGTCAATAAGGAATAATTTTAGAAATAGAACATTTTCTATTTGAAGACAAAATATTTCGCAGGTTTTAAATAATGTATTTCAGAAAAACCGATGAATTTAATTTATTTTTTGGTGCATGTTGACCCGTAATATTGTGAAAATTTTCTTTCACAAAGCAGTGTATCATAAGTTTCAGAAATGTTGCCATATGACAGCTGAGTTGCCAACTTGTACCGTAGTGAAAGAAGGTTTTTATAAGTAAGTTTTTAACCTGAGATTCGAGAATTAGGGTAGTGTTTTAAAAGATCTGTGGTTGCATGAAACGGTACTTTTTTGCGAAGAATACGCTATTTTCTTAATCGATGTGAGTTTTAAACATTTGATCGTTAGGTCAAGTTTGGCCTATCTACAGCAAGCGCTTTCTGTCTTAATTTTGAAAATAGCGCAAAACGTCAATACGGAGAAAAGCCACGGCTTTGAGAAAATGAAATGCATTTGTGGTCTACATTTTTAATATTTAGAAACTTACTCCAATGCTGCATTATCTGGGCTCATAAAAATTTGATAAAAAAATGGGAATAAGGCATTAATTTTGATAAACTTCTGCTAGGTTAAAAAATGTCGCTAAATTTGTGATTTTTTTTAAAAGTTATTTGTCCATTCTGAGGTCCAGATGATTTTTTACAGCAAGGTGGCGTATTTTTAAAAAAATATGTCTTTGCTTCAAGTGTAGGGCACTAAAATTGTGACTTTTTATTTTTTTTTGGCGACAGATCTTCGAAAGATCTTGTTAAATAATGGCAGAAAACGTGATTTTTACTTAGAAATATGTGAACTTGAAGTGAGTTAGATTAAAACTGCGATGAAATATTTTTAAAAAATGCAATTAATTGAACTAAATTAACCTTTTTATATTTATTTCTTATAATTATAAAAATAATACATTTGATTTTTTGTGTGTATATTGTAGGATATATTTAGAGTGTAGTACTTCTTTTACGCAGTTTTTTTTAAGCTCTGTCGTATCTTTAAGTGCCTTACACTTGAAGCAATGCGATGATTTCAATCTATATTTACAATCTTGCCGTGAAGAATTATCTGGACTTTAGAACAGATAAATAACTGAAATATTTTATATGACCACATTTTTCCACCTAGATGAAAATTATCAAAATCACTGCCTTATTTTCTATATTTTCTAATTTTAAGAGCCCAGGTAATGCAGCATTGAAGTAAATTTTTAAATATTTAAAAAATAGACCTCAAACGCTTTTCATTTTAACAAAACTGTGGCTTTTCTTCATATTGCCATTTCAAATAAGCGTAGACAGCGTAGGCTATAGTTGACCTAACTAGTATAGTTGACCTAGTAAACTTGACCTAAGGCTATATACTATAGTTGACCTGATTAGACTATAGTTGACCTAGTATACTTGATCAAACAGCCATGAGTAACAGTTGCAAACTCACAGCAGTTATAAAAATAGTATATTATTCGCAAAAAGCATCATTTCATATTACGACAGAGCCTTCGAAACAGTCTTAAGGAAAATCCACTGGACTCAAAATAATAATAATAATAAAAAAATTAATATATATGCTTAAAAACTGTCCAAAGTATACTTCAGTCGAAATTCCTACCTTTTTTTTCTAAATTTGCTTTTTTTATTAATCTGTGAACCAATTTTTTTATTTTGAACACAGTACCAAATAATAGTTTTACTGATATTTCGTCAAAGTTCAAACACACAATCATTAATTTACCTTGCATTTATATAATTTTAATTTATTTCTTTGTGGTCGTAGCCAAAATGAGACCACTTTAAATGTAAAAAAAAAATAGTAAAATCAAAAAATGGTCAATATCTTTGAAAGTTAGCTACTGTGAAGTAAATATTGTATATAATTCTTATTAGACTTGAAAATTTAAATTTTCTGTAAGTAGCCATTGTTCGGTAGACTAATAACTTAGTAACCACTTTTTCCTTATTGTAATGAGTCGACGATCAATATAGATAAGTTCTTTTCATTTAATGGCCACTTTTTTAAACTTTTTTTTGCTAGCATTAAATTATATTGATAAAAAAAATTATATTGGAAATAATCTGCGGCAGTAAAGAGTTAATTAAACAATAAAATTAATATTAAAATGTGGAAAAATTTAGTTAAACATACTGACTTTAAAGAACTTTAAGTAAAAAAATTTGGGTAGGCAAAATAAATTTAATGTATACATTACAACTTTAAAATATGTAAATTGCTAAAAAACTCGCCTTCCACACGAATCTTTTCATCTCAAATTGATTTATTCTGAAGGTTAAAAATTTTTGAATGGAGACATTTTAATTAAACTTCGTTTTTCCAGAGTCTTTTTGCCTTGATCTACTTTTATCATTAAATTTTCAAAAAGAGAAAGGAGAGGAAAAGTGACCGCTTGTTTATTTAATTTAAGTCTCCGCTTTTTTTTTTCCTACAGTCGAAGTGTTATCTTCTTTAAAGTTTAATTATAATTAAATTTAGTTTATGTTATTACCTAAAACGTTTTATTGTCGTAATTTTTATTTCTCCATTCATTTTATTGTGCAATCTGTAAATTTACCTAAAAAATTTAGTTTTGTTAATAATCTCGCCTTCCACACGAATCTTTTCGTCACAAATTGATGGATTCTGAAGGATTAAAATTTTTGAATGGAGGCATTTTAATGAAACTTCTTTTTTCCAGAGTCTTTTTGCCTTGATCTACTTTTATCATTAAAAATTTTCGAAAAAAGAAAGGAGAGGAAAAGTGACCGCTTGTTTATTTAATTTAAGTCTCCACTTTTTTTTTCCTCACCAGTCGAAGTGTTATCTTTTTTAAAGTTCAATTATAATTAAATTTAGTTTATGTTATTACCTAAAACGTTTTATTGTTGTAATTTTTATTTCTCCATTTATTTTATTGTGCAATCTGTAAATTTACCTAAAAAATTTGGTTTTGTTAATAATAAGTGTTGTTCTTATTAAAGATTTAGTAACTATTTATAAAATATTATTTTTTTAAAATTTCAATACAGCTGTAGTAGTGGGGTGAAGAGACGTGTGGGGTAACCTCCCCGATTAGTTTCTTCTTTAAAGAGGAATGAAATCTCAGGAAGAAGTAAATGAATCTTCATAAAATTAATCGAACACTGGAACGGTAAACATTCATAAAAACTTAAATCCAAATTTTAAATTCATTTTTATATAAAAGCAGGCAAAAATAAATTTTTTTATAAGAGTTTATAAGTTACAACAAAACGTTCTTAAATTTTCTTTAATGCAAAATATATTTAATAATTAATGACCTTAAACTTCATATTTAAATTTGCTTAAAAATTGTTATTTATTATTCTTAAATTATAACACTTAAGTCACCTATTTATCCAATTAAATTTAATTACATTATTTTATTTCTTTATTTTATAACCCTCGTGGAACAGCCGACCTAATTTTTTAGTTTACNCTCCGCTTTTTTTTTTCCTACAGTCGAAGTGTTATCTTCTTTAAAGTTTAATTATAATTAAATTTAGTTTATGTTATTACCTAAAACGTTTTATTGTCGTAATTTTTATTTCTCCATTCATTTTATTGTGCAATCTGTAAATTTACCTAAAAAATTTAGTTTTGTTAATAATCTCGCCTTCCACACGAATCTTTTCGTCACAAATTGATGGATTCTGAAGGATTAAAATTTTTGAATGGAGGCATTTTAATGAAACTTCTTTTTTCCAGAGTCTTTTTGCCTTGATCTACTTTTATCATTAAAAATTTTCGAAAAAAGAAAGGAGAGGAAAAGTGACCGCTTGTTTATTTAATTTAAGTCTCCACTTTTTTTTTTCAACAGTCGAAGTGTTATCTTCTTTAAAGTTTAATTATAATTAAATTTAGTTTATGTTATTACCTAAAACGTTTTATCGTTGTAATTTTTATTTCTCCATTTATTTTATTCTGCAATCTGTAAATTTACCTGAAAAATTTGGTTATGTTAATAATAAGTGTTGTTCTTATTAAAGATTTAGTAACTATTTATAAAATATTATNTTTCTACTTTTATCGCAGTTTTATTTTGAAAATCAAATTTTATTCATTTTCGGCACATGCATATACCAAAAACAAATTCATAATATTAAATATTTTACTCTCTTTTCATAATAAATATTTTCAAGATTTCTTTTTCGAAGATAGTCAAGATAGTCTTTTTCGAAATAATTTATAGTTTTTTATGTTTGTATGATAGTTGGCTAGTTAGTTTAATACAAAATATATTTAATAATTAATGACCTTAAACTTCATATTTAAATTTGCTTAAAAACTGTTATTTATTATTCTTAAATTATAACACTTAAGTCACCTATTTATTCAATTAAATTTAATTACCTTATTTTATTTCTTTATTTTACAACCCTCGTGGAACAGCCGACCTAATTTTTGAGTTTACAACTACCAATGTTCAACAAAGTAGTCATGCAATTTTGAACCCAATCCAGAAAATAAAAGAACTCTTGGATCAAGTATTAGGAGGGAGAAGCTAATTCGCATTTGCATTAAACGAAGATAAAAAATTGCGTGAATTTCCCACGGTTAGTATGGCGGCAAGAGAAGTCTAACCCATGATCTGTCTACCACTGATGATATTTCACGTCAGCACTGTGATCGGTGCTAGCTGGGTGCGGAACTCGTATCGACTAGTCGTCGCTGGGATTCGAACCTGGGTCACCTCATTGGGAGGCGAGTGTTTTTTATTTTATTTTATAGCCGTCGTTAAACAGCTGACCCAATTTTCGGGTTTGCGACTCCTAATGTTCAACTCCGAAGCTTTATAATTTTGAACCGCATCCAGAAGACAAATGAACTCCTGGATCAAGTACTGGGAGAAGTACCTTGGATCGTGGAGGACTTTTTGATGGAACTAACCCACATTTGCGTTACATGGAAATGAAGACCACGAGAACCTCCCACGGTTAGCTTGACGGCAAAGGGACTCTAACCCATAATGCATCCACTGAGGATATTTTATGTCAGCACTGTGGTCAGTGCAAGCCGGTTGGGATTCGTATCGCCCAGCCATCGTTGGATTCGAACCCGGTTCACCTCATTGGAAGGCTAACGCTCCATCTGTGAACCATCACGGCTCGGAGGCGAGTGTTAAAATAGTATTAGAAATCTAGAAATTATAAGTTTAGTGAGCTTAGTCGTCGAATTGATTTCCCCTTTGACTGGACATCTGGAGCTGCTGTCCCTTTCTCTGCACGCCACTGTGTTTTACCATGATGGTTTCTCAGTTTTCAAAATGTTTTGCATTCAGTAAATTGTTTGAAAAAAATTTAACTTACTTGACAGGGATGGGTATAGGTAAGGGTAACACTCTTGGAAGTTTTCTTGAGGCTAGAGCTCCTAGAACAAGACCAGCTTTGATAAGTTTCTTCACTTTGACATGTGCTTGTGTTTCTTGAAGGGATGCACACACAAGAAGGATGGTGATTACTGTTGCTACGGCTTTTTGCTGACTACTTGTCATCTTTACTAAATGAAGTTTGTTAGCTTTTATTGAGCAGGGAATGAACCAAATAACCTAAACAGATGTTATCAAACTTATTAATTCTTTAAAACTTATATATATTTAAAATATTGAAAAGTTAATCAGAGAGGGAATGACTCTTAATGGCATTTTTAACGCAAAGCAAAGCAAAGTTTTTATTTATTTTTATTTTTGAAGTTGGTTGTGATGCGAAATTCAATAAAAACAATAAAAATATCACAAACAATAATTGCAATAAAAGAAAACTTGCTTTATTGTGCAACTTAGCTAGTTTTTTTCTTGACTAGAGGTGGTTCTCGATGAACGTTAATACGCTTTCTTACGAGGATTTGCAAAATATTTGTGTTCAAAATAAACAAATATTTGAAAAGCAGTTATTAAATAGTAATACTATAAAGATAACAATTTTATTCGAAATTCTGCATATTTTTAATTTTCTTAATTTCGTTGATAGCTGTATTTCCAAGAAGCACATACTAAATTAGACATGAAATGTATGTTGTATTACACTTTAAAAAATGAATAGGGGAGAGTGGGGTCAATTGTAACAGGGTACGATTGCAACAGAGCAAAAATTTCGAGTGTCGGGTTCTAGATTTGGTTCCTAGGTGGCGCGCAAGGCGTATTTAATAAATCTACATGTACACCCCTGCTGGCAACCATTTTTATGTACTTTTGAAAGAGTTACATCACAAAAGATATTTTCAATTATATGAATATACATATAGGGTATTAGAAT